ATGATCATCCGAACAACGACCAAGGGCTAGGTAGTCTGCCCGATGATATGCAGTGGTATTCGATATTGGTTGAAAGCCACCCTCATGTCGGGGAAAGCCCGTTTTGGATTTTGGGTTTGAGGCGAGCGATCGCTACTCCAGCAACATCTCAACGTCTCAATTCGTTAAGATCCTGACGACAGCCAAGTGCGAATTCCCTCAACACTTCGGGTCTGGGATTTTAGGTCTTTGATGAGCGATTCTTGATTGCATCTTGCAGCGGTAGTCCAGCAAGGTCTAGTCAAGAGTCTAGTCATTTCAAGACGTGCTCGTCGCGGTTCAATTCGCTCCAAAGGATTGGAATTTACCTTGCAGGATTCACCCAAAACCTCGACCAAACAGCTCACAAAGTCGCCACAACGACGCCGGCATGTTCCTTGTGCTCTGTGCGGGGGGCTTGGAAAGCCATCTTGGGCACCCTCTGCACGTTAAAGTTACAAACGAATGGCAAGGCTCTTAAGGACCGAGGCTAAACAGGGTGGTGAAACCATCTACATCTAGACCGAATGCCCCAGGCCCAGGCCTTGGGTGATTAATGTGTAGGCTTCGGGGCTCTGGCCTGTCGCGGAAAGCGAGCATGCAAAGGTGTCGGTGGATTTTCTGGTTCAACCCTTAGGCCCTTAGGCCTTGGTTGGGGTTGAGGGTTCCGACAAGTTCCTTGGAGAATCTGCAGGCAGGTCCTGCCAGAATCGTCCACCGTGCTGGCGAGTCCCCGCGAAGATTAGGGCACAATGTTGTTGGGAAGCAACATGGCATTGAAACGACATGTCGTAATTGGCAATCTGCATGCAAAACAGAGCTGACAAATCTTGAACCCTCAGTGTAACATCTTCGTCTTTGGAACCAAACTTCCGATTGGCTGCAAACATTGCGACAAGCGGAGTTCGGGTGCGAAATATGAGGGGCAACGTTTGCGCGTGTGCAGTTGGACAAGGTCTGCGCAGGCTTCGGGGCTGAATCTAAAAGGATGTTGAGGGTTATCTCCTTTTAGCAAGAGATTTAAGCCTTGCCACTTGGGCCTTGCCGAAGAATGGACATCTGACTCTAGACCAGATTGGAGTGCAGATGCAACCTTGCGGTTGAGTTGACACTTTGAAACCTCGACATCCGCAAAATTCAGGCGAAGGGAGGCTGAGAGCGTTCCCATGATCCGACAGACCTCGCCGACAGTAACAGGATGAATCCACTAGTCTGTTGGACCTAGGATCTAGCAAGCCCGAAAGCACAATGACTCAAGCCCTGAAGCCGCTTACCATTCTTCCCACACCTGCGTCCACCATGTTTTCCAATCACCCGGAGCCATAGTTAGAAGCAACACGAAGCGCATTCGTGTATCTTCAGGATTTGTGGATTGTTTTGGCACATGATGTAGGATTGCAGGTCTTGAGTTGTTATTGCGACGGCAACGTTTTCTGTAGATCGGTGTCATGTTCGGCTTGCATCGTGCTGGAAGCCTCCAGCCCTGCTTCGTAGTTCCGCCAAAGCCAAACATCCCAATCGAAGCTCTGGACTCTGAATTCTGGACAGGGAGCCCTGAAGAAGCAGCTCTTGTCACAGCCCCTTGCAAGTGACCACTGGGCATAGTCCTAGATGGATCTTTTGTTCATGGGTAAATTTAAAGACTATGGCAAAGATCAGAACCAACAACCTCTGCCTCTTCTGGAAGACGTGTAGCTGAGTGAGCTCAGCCACACAAACCAACTTTGTGGCATTTTGGCCATTGCTGCTTCGGAGCACAACTTAGAACACCTGCATGCAAAAAGCCGCGACGAAAAAGAGCACATGAGTGCAGAATATTTTATACTTCTTCTGCATTGTCGCATCGCTTTCGGACGTTCACTTTCGCATTGAATCCGGGGCCCGTGTGAACCCAATTGATTCACTTGATGCGAGATCAGTGTGCAGCACTCATGTATCAATCTTGAGAAAAAGCTTTGAACCTCCGACTCAGGGTCTGTCGTGTGGTGGTTAGGTTGAGGGTACAGGCTGGGGGTAAGAGCTGGGAGGCATAAGTTTTGGGATGCGAAGAAGCATCACCACACATAGCGGAACGGGGCTCAGTGGTGTGTCACAGGGGCATTTCTTTCGGGGAACTTGGATTTGGTCTTCAGTTGTTGCCTCCTTTTCAGTTCCAGGACAGCATAGGATCACAACTCAGACTGTGTGGTTTGCCCATCGGAGCAAAATGTTTGCAGGTAATGCGCTGCGGAGCAGAACTTCGTGCATGCAAAAAGCCGCGACGCAAAAGATCACATGAGTGCAGAGTAGTTTACACCATGAAGCCGACAGAACGTGTTTATGCCAGACTAGTCCTAGTTCGTCCGATCCTGTTTAGCTCGAGCTTGGATTAAGCTGTTATGGATACGGCAGCTGCCACTTTAAGACGTGCGAAACAACCTAAGTGACGAGACTTAGTGGAATCGGGGCACATACATCTGGGGCACGGGCCATCTCAACACCATGGGGGGGCAACGAAACCCTGAGCGTGCCGCGCAAGTGCGGGTGTTGTCCTCCTTGGCCCGCCAACATGGCCTGGAAACTGTAAACGATGCAGCCGCCCGAACCAAAGTCGAAAAACTCAGCGATGATTTATTGAATCTTCAGCTAACTGATGAAGTACGACAGCAAGTGGTCGAAGCTACGGCAGCTTTCAAAGCCACATACCCACAAGTTCAGCCGCAAGCCGTTGAAAACCCGGCCGACAACAAAGCTTGGAAGTTCTCTGCGGTACAGTTGACGTACAACTGCAGTCAAGGCGCGTGGGCTTCGCATGAAGATGACGTCTTGAGGGGGCTGTTCAACCGCTTCGTTGGCTTCTTGATCGGACTCTCAGAAGCTCTTCATGTTCTTGGCACGTCGGCTACCATGGAACGTGCATCACCAAGGCAGGTACACATGCATGCCTACCTCCATTTGGGAAAGAGTTTCCACCGCCGTGGGCGTGAGGCCTTGGACGTTTTCCTTTTTGAGGGTGTCAAGCCGCACCTCACCCCAAAACACGGCATCTGGCAAGTCCTACATGGGAGCCGTGCGGTATGGTCACTTTTACGTTGTGGTCAACAAGATCGGAACCATGCAGCTTGGGCGTTTCGAACATAACGGTTTTGCAAGTTTGTTTAAACCGTGCGGGTTCTGGTAATCATGTTTTTGCGGCTTGTGACCACGCAGACAGCCCAGATTCAACTACACGGACTTCGGCCCTTTCAAGGCGTACGGGGTCGAGGGGTGGTGGTTGGACAACCTCTTGAAGTCCGGCAAGTTAACGCGTGAAACATACTTGCACTTAGCCGCCCGCGTTACAGTTGGGTTCCAGAGACGTTTGGCGGATTGCAGGGCAGCTGAACGATACCTGCAGGAAGAGTCTTTACGCCTTGAGGTTTCGGCACAACAGCATGCGCTTGAACCGGCCATGCTGCCCATGAAGGTGTACCCCCAAGTGGAAGATTTTATCCAGCTTCATGATGGCCAGGCAAGGTTTCGGCGGCCCATCTTGGCCATCGTGGGGGGCACCCGATTGGGGAAATCTGTTTTGGCAGGACATGTCTTGCGCCGGATCGGTGAACGGCTGAACCTGGATGAGTTCCTAGAGATCACCGTGGAAGATTCGGAACAGATGGATTTGGGCGAATTCGACCGCCGAATCCACTCCGGTGTCATCCTGGACGGAGTGGCTGATGCCCTTTTCCTCAAACGACACCGGGAGACCTTACAAGGTCGACCCAAAGTGGTCAAAGGCGCCAAGTCCGCCACGAATGTATACGCGTATTCGTTCTCGTTTTGCGCGCGAGCCGTGGTGGCAACTTTCGATCTTAGTGCGCGCAACTTGACCCTCTTAGAGACCGACCACTGGCTGTCCAACAGAGAGAATGTGATTCTTCTTGAGTTGAGCGAGCCTGTCTATTCGACAGCGCAGATCGGTGCAGGCCCCTTCCCTGTTGACGACGGCGAGGCCACGCCTGCCGCCTCGCGACCCCCGAAACGCCGATGGGTGGGAAGTCCTGCAAGGCAGGTCCCATTCTTACCGGTTCGCAACGGATGACTTGCGGGGTGTGCTGGCAGAAAAAATATGGTCGGCCCATACTGGCGCAACAAAGTTTATGATATCCCCCCAAAATGAACGCAGCAGACGTGCTTCTACTGGAATGCTTTGCACTAAACCCGAAAATACAGGCTTGCTTCAAGTTCTTACTCTTCAAGTCAGAGTGAAGACAGCAAACATGATTCGGGAGCCCTTCCAAAAGAGAGTAGCAGACGTGCTGCCGCAAGGCAGTGCCCCAAGCAGTAACAGCCGCTCTACAGGAGATCTAGTTCCGGTGCTTGGTCTTTGGAACGCACTTGTAACGATGAGAATGATTGTAGAAGGATGCGTCCTCAGAAAAGTTTACGATTTGGTGGGCGTTTGTTGTGACATGTTGTGTGCAAGGTTGAAAAGTCTTGAGGAAAGGTTGGACACTAGAGTATGTCGACAAGGCTTCTATATAGTGACTTCTATAGGCTTTCACATGCATGCAAAACTTGTGATAACCGGTGCAAAGAAACCTATTGTCCCGACCCCACCGTCTACGAGCATATTGGCTGTTTGCACGAGGTGATGAGCCGTTTTCACAGACCGTCTCGAGTCGGGATAACATGCAAACGGCTTAAACAATGCTGTATGTCGTCACAAAGTGCACCCAAAACTCACCGTACGACATAAAGCACTCCGTGAGGATCGCATCCCATTTGTGGGATTTTTTATCAAGATGCTTGAGTTTGAAGATACTGGTTCACAGTTTATGCATGTCCTAACCTGTGTAGCAGGCTCAGGTGGTTCCGCGCGTGGACCACATACTCAACACAGATCGCTGCCAGTCTCACCCGATGCACTTGCGCCCCGCTACCGTGCAGCGTTCGCAAATTTGGCTCGCAGTGTTGATTCTGGAAGGGCCCAGAGTTGCCGAAGCTCCATTTGTCGACGAATGAATGAAGCTAGCGATAATAACCCCTCGCACCTCAAGCCCTGGTATTGGTTTCGAGGCGTGTGCATCTAGCA